TCGTCGGAGAGCACCAAGCCGGCGCGGGCGGCGCCGAGCCACAGCAGCGCGACGACCAGCACGGCCGAAATTTATGGCGAAAAAGGCTTGAGCGTTGGCGGACGCTGTCGCTGTCATATAAATTGAAGTGCATCGATAAAAAGTTTCACACTGCACTGTACTCCCACTTGCGATACAGACCTCCTTTTTTTTGGAAAACACCCTCAAGACACAGGTGCTCTGCGACTCAAGTGTGAGGCAGAGGCGAGCACGCACTGGGCAAGGTACGCACTCATTTCTTGAATGCCTGACACTGCAAGAAAAGTGTGAATAGTACAACAGTACAAAAAAAACTGTACAACAGGATTGTAAAAGTTCAACGAGAATTGTACAAACCACAACGAGGACTGGAGGGCCCAGCACTCGTCATGCCGGTTCCATTGTACTTTGTACAAAAATTTATTGTACTTTGAAAGTACAATTAAATCCTGCCCAAAAAAAAAATCCCCAATAATTGTGTACCTTTGTTGTGGTTTTTACTTCAGTGGACAGGCACTCACGTGTTTGCTGCACACCTGCTGACAGACACGCTTTAAAATTTGCAGGGTGAATGCCATGATAAAATGAATTTTAGTATCGCACTTTTTTGCAATGCTCCGAAAACTCAAGTGTGTCCACAAAATGCTTCAGGTGCAAAAGCGCAGAAGTGGTTTTACTTCTCTCTCTTGATCTTTGACTTCCGCTCCGGGGATTCGTTACAATACCCAATTTATTCGTGTTTCTCCATTTGAGCCTAACGTAGACAAGTATGCAACGCAGATGAGTATAAAAAACGTAGATGAGTATGAACTTTGATTTTATTTCAGAGACGCGCATTTTGTCTTTAAAACGTTTTTCGGTAAAACGAACGTTTAAGGGAGAGATCGATTGTTAAGTTTTATGTTCCTATCGATTGCGCAAATTTTCACGATAAATTTCAATGAATTTCCCCTATGTGCATTTGTTTTGTGGCTAAGAATATTTGGCTGCTACAGTTCTTATAAATCGATCAAAAATTAACAATGAGGGAAACGGACCCGTCGAAACAAGACGGGGTTTTCCTTCGTCGGAACCCCTAAACAAAGGTCACCTCTGGATCCACCGGCGTCTCCGACCTGAAGCATGGGTACAGTTTGTAGGGGGAAGGAAAGTGCATCCTATCGGGGGTGATATCTTGGCTTTGAGCCATCCCTCCGAAAAATTCTGAAAATCTTAGAGTGAAATCATGTTAAAAGGATGCAAGATCTCCGCCCCGAAGGTGAACGTTGCTTTCCTTGAAATTTTCTTCCCCGACTAGCCCCCTTTTGTGACCTTCTCCAGAAACTGACGTGAGTTAACTGCAGATTTTTTGTCATCATAGCAGGTTTTTGTAATGATTCAAATTTCAGGATTTCACATACTGTGCAAAGATTCATTGCATGTGGGGATCAACGATTCATGGAGATTACATTTTGAAAGTCATCAGTTTCGAATGCTAAAAGCAGTGCTATACTCGTGCTCGACACCTGCAGGTGCTCAACAAGGTTCGATCCTTAACTTCATAATCAGAGAAATTTTATTCCAATGAATGACTCACGAGCACCTTTTTTTTTGTTCTTTAAAAAAAACCCTTAGGGACTTAATTTAAACTTCAAACCATATTCCTCAAAAGACAGCAATCGTATTTAATTTCCTTTGATTGCGTCAAATCTCTTCGTGCCGAACGGTTTGACGTAGTTCAGACACACTAAATTCTTATGGACTTTTTAAATGCATAAGGACGCATTTTTTATGCATAGTTATGCTGCGCAGAAACGTCCATAAGGTATGTAAAAAATTATGCATCACTGTGCACATTTTATGCGTCTTCCTGCATAAAATGTACACAGTGATGCATAATATTATACAAAACATAGGGACGTATCTGTGCATGCATAACTATGCATAAAAAAGTCCAAAAGAATTTAGTGTGGAAAGACGTATAAAAAAATGTACGCACGTGCATCTAAAATAGCATTAACACCTGACTACGCCAATCATCATTTGTTTGCTCGAGGCGTTTCCGCCTATCGGACCGTGATCGTATCTCGTCGCAGCCCGAACAGAGGACACTCGAACATCCTATCAGGCACAGCAGCCTCGGATTAGGTCCTGATCGGAAGTGAGGCAATGATCGGGAAAAACAAAAGTGCATCTCGCAATTCACTGCAGCGAATCAGCGAACAAAGTCGGAAACTAAGACATGAAAGATCATCAGAGTAAAACTGTCTTTGGCACCCTTCAAGGGGGTAAAAAGGATATTCCCTTTTGGGAAAGGGGCTTTGACATTTTGCAGAGAAGTCCTGAATCAATTTTCTCCCATTTGCTCAAACAATTCCCCTCGTTGCAGAGGCGTAATCGTTGACGCCCTGCCCGGGGAACAATTAGTACGCCTTTTTTTCACCTGTACCTACGTGATTTTCGGAGGAATTCAGCATTGGTGGGATGCTCGAGTGCCTATCCCGTGTGTCACAGTGGCGAGATACGCTTAAAATCAGATAGGCCACCAATTCACACTTGCGTCGGTCACATGGACAATTGACGTTTGACCAAAATTTGGGGTCACGTCATATCATAGAGTAACTCCCCCCCAAAGGGCGGACCAAAATCTGGGTTTGGGGTCACGGATTCGGTTCAAACTTTGGGGGTTCAATAGGTACCACTAGGACCTTCAACCCTAAAAGGAAAGTTGGCTAGCTCAAATAGAACCTGAGATTTTTTGCATTTTTCTAAATTTGACTAATTTAGCGTAAAAATGTCGCTTTCTGATTTTTTCATGAAAAAAGTTGTTCGCTTAGTTCTAGCTTGCATTTCTTCTTTCTAGTCATAAAAAAAGGAGAAAATGGGGGTAGGCCAAGTTTTGTACGTTGCTTAGTTTGCCTACTCGAGCAATTTTGTCGAATTCATCGAAACTCTCATACCCAAAATACTCCACCTTGGATTTGACCCTGGTACGTCTCATTCCACTTCTTTTACTCTAATAAAAAATTGCTATATAGTCCCTAGCACCAACAATTCCATAAAAGCCAGAAAAATCCAAAACAATTTTTAAATTTTCTACTTTGACCTATTTTGGGCCCTTTTGTCAAGATTAGGGCTTCTACATGATCTTGGGTGACAGGAAAGATCCTTCCTGCCCTCAATTTAGATAGTATCAACAAAAACAAAGAGACCTAAACTCAAGGTGCACAAAAAATTTATAAGGAACTGTTTTGAGCAAATTTTGCAAGTTTACGGGGGGTGTGAGGAATTTAAATCGGGGGAAAATGTAATGCTTCAGCCAAAAGTGGATTTTTGGTTCATTAGTAAGCTTTCTCAAGTAGGTTTGGTGCCCTTTTAACCCTGAGAATGTTCCTCCTTGATAAACAGTGTTTAAAAACCCCGTTTTGGTATAGGGTTGTTGACTTCGATTTCAACCCTTACAAAGTAATGATCCATTTATTTAGGTTGTTTGCAACGTGTAAAATTTAACCGCTTAGTCTCAAAGATGAGCCTGGTTTCATTTGGTTTGTAATTTTTTAGACCAGCCGATGACTTAAGACTAAGGGGTTCAGCTTACACGTTGCAATAACCTAAATAAATGGATCATTACTTTGTTAATGCGTTGAAATCGTAAGTCCAACAACCCTATACCAAAACAGGGTTTTAACACTGATTATCAAGGGGAACAAACTCAGGGTTAAAGGGGACCAAAACCCACTTGAGAAAGCTTACTAATGAACCACAAATCCACTTTTGGCTGAAGCATTAATTTTCCTCCGATTTAAATTCCTCACACCCCTCGTAAACTTGCAAAATTTGCTCAAAACAGTTTCCTTATAAATTTTTTTGTGCACCTTGAGTTTGGTCTCTTTGTTTGTGTTGATACTATCTAAATTGAGGGCAGGAAAGGGTCTTTCCTGTCACCCAAGATCATGTAGAAGCCCTAATCTTGACAAAAGGGCCCAAAAAAGGTCAAAATAGAAAATTGAAAAATTTGTTTTGGATTTTTCTGGCTTATATGGAATTGTTGGTGCTAGGGACTATATAGCAATTGTTTATTTGAGAAAAGAAGTGGAATGAGACGTACCAGGGTCAAATCCAAAGGGGGAGTATTTTGGGGATGAGAGTTTCGATGAATTCGACAAAATTTCTCGAGTAGGCCAAACTAAGCAACGTACAAAACTTGGCCTACCACCATTTTTCTCCTTTTTTTATGACTAGAAAGAAGAAATGCAAGCTAGAACTAAGCGAACAACTTTTATCATAAAAATCAGAAAGCGACATTTTTACGCTAAATTTGTCAAATTTAGAAAAAAGCAAATATCTCAGGTTCTATTTGAGCTAGCCAACTTTCCTTTTAGGGTTGATAGGTCCTAGTGGTACCTATTGAACCCACAAAGTTTGAACCGAATCCGTGACCCAATCCCAGATTTCGGTCCGCCTTGGGGTGGAGTTACTCTATAGTAGTAGAGGGTTTTTTGTCCAAAATCTCAGCAATGCACTTCAGACGGTGGAGATGCTACAATTGACACTGTTGTCGATCAAGAACTTAGCTCACGTTGTCAGTGAGGTAGAGACTTCCCCTTTTTCTCTGTTAGAATCAGAGAAAGCTCGGTCTCATCAAAGTTAAGATTCCTAATTCCACTAAATGGCTGTCTTTCACACAATTTTCATGCGGTTCATTTTTTTTCGGACATGGAATGTCAGAAATGTTCCGGGCCCCCTTTTTTAAACATTCCCTGACAATCTCCAGGCGACAGGCACAGTGTTATCTCATTTATGCTCTTTTCACACTCCGAGCAGCGCAGCCTCCACAACATTGTATCTGTGTCTCCAGACGGGGAATACGCTGTTTTCCTCCACGAGTCACGGACAGATGATAAACGCACACGAGCACGTCTGAAAATAACCTCAACGATAAGCTTCACTTGCCCTACTCCGCACATTTCTGATGCGTCCCAGTCTGGCTGGAGATTTGGACGAGCGTCGGCCCAGTCCGTCTCCGCGCTTGTTCCAGTGTGGAGCCTGGTGGAGCCGTAGGTCACATCATGGCTCGCAATATCTTCGCGTTTGTAATAGCACCCCTTCTACTCTGCGGCTTGGCTAAAGCACTTTCAGGTTCGTGAAGGGGAAGAGGGCACTGTAAGGAAACAGGAGTCTGTTTCGAAAACGTTCTGTTCAACTGTTCTTTTGCTTGGCGCTCGCAATCCGAGGACCTTCTTTATCGTATCTTTCTTATTTTGGGAAGGGAAAATCAGCCGTTGATGTCATGAGATCGCATTCTCGACCCCCCCCCCCCCTTTTTAGGAATACTTCGGAATTTACGGGCTATTTCTTCGTATAACAAAATATATTAGTTTGTGCTAGGTATGCTCAAAATACTTCGTAAGGTTTTAAGCGTGTGCATTTTGTTTTCAGAGGTCCCCTGCGATGGAATGTTTGAGGCTGTTGGTGAAATTATCAGTCCCTCCTGTTCTACCCACAACTGGACTTTCATCGGTTCACAGTACTACAAGCGAACCCTCCTTATTGCCAGAACTCGTGAATCCGGCGCGGTAAGAGGAACTTTCCCAAGTTTATTCAACAGGCATAGTAATCGGTATCGGTGGCCTAAGGTAGTCAGCTCCATCAGTCTAGCTGTGTGCCTCCTTGGGGTGCTCGGGGATAATCCTAACTCACACGGCAAACTATTCTACTGGAAATTCAAGCGTGAGACAGTATCACACTATTTATTGCGATTTTGTGCGATCCAGTGTGTCTCATGGTTTAAGTGTGACCCCGTAAACAAAAAATAGTACATGTCTGGAATCCGACGTCTTTCGGACGTCCCGAAGAAGTCGGTTTTGGGAGCTCTTCGGGACCTCCCTAAACGTACTACAAATGAAGCTCTCTCGTACGTCGCGCGGGGACCTAGTGTGTGGTGCCAGAGTTCGCCGCCAGAGCGCGCCCTGGTCGCTCGTCCCAAAGTAGTGGGTTTCTTGGAGCACTTCGGGACGTCCGAAACGGTAGGTCTATGTGAGGTCTTTGGGAGGTCCCCCACCACCCCGTCGCAGCGTCCTGCGGCCATGTAGTTCCGATGAGTCCGCTAGAGCGCGCCTCGGGCCCACGCGATGCTCACCTTTTTGGGCAGATGACAGTCGGCGCACTTTGGCGCGCACTGTGCTTGTGGCGTCGGATCCTTACTTCTATTTATTTTTCTGTTAACTATATTTAAATTCATTTCTCCAAAGAAAAAAAACCCACGCACGAAGATGTTCAGTTCTCAGGTGCACCAATAAAAGAATACTTCAAACCCTTTGGTGCAGGCTTATTTCGTGTTTCAATCCAAATCAGAAAGTACCGGTGTAAGTTAACCTACAATATTCTGTTACTTTGATACTCTTATGGTAAAAGTGTTTATTTTGTTCGTCTTCTGTTTTTTATGCTTGAGAAATAGGCTCTTTGCGGAAACCTTGACCCTCTGGAGTTGCCCAAGATTCTGGAACGATAACCTGCACCACTATGCAATTACATGTGGAACAAGAACTGACCCCTGTGCTTCAGTGTAAAATTTAAATGAATTTCCTGCGACAGAGCAAATAAGCATGACACCTCGGAATCAGTGCTAATTGAATTTCTTTCAGTCTTTTTGGCTTTTTTTTAATAAAGGGGTGTTACAGTTATGGTTGCTGTTTTTTCCTTTTCAGTCCACCGAGATTCCTCTTTTAAATATTTTGTTTTTGAGTCCTGTCCCCCCTTTTTGTCTCCATATTTTCTGCTGTTCGTGACAAGTCTTATCTTTTTGTTTTTTAAATTTTAAAAAGGTCAGTGAATAAATACATTTTTCCTAACATTTTTATCTGTGTCATATTCACATTCCTATACGCATTCACATTCATATCCGGAACAGTGGCGCACCCTAGCGGCAGGCCATCGAACTACGACACAGGTGCGCGCTCTAGCGGTCACCTTCGGAACTACATGGCCGCAGGGCGGGTGCGACGGGTGGTGGGGGAAAATCCGAAAGACCTCTCACAGACCTACCGTTTCCGACGTCCCGAAGTGCTCCCGAAAGAGACGTCCCCAAAAGTAGCACGGCAGTACTTCTTTCGGATGCCCTTTTTTTTTTCATAAGGTACTCCTTCCGTACTACATTTTGGGATGTACAGAGCTCCGAAATGGTATACGACAGTACCACTTTTGATAGTAGTTTTGTTTACGGGGGGGACACGGTCTGTCCCCACACTTGCAATCCTGGGCCTGTGGCATAGAACCACACAGGAAAAGATACACTGTAAAAAAAATATCGTAAAATTTTCGAAAAATTTGTGCCCGTGTTTCGAGGTGATGTCAGCAGGTATACAGTCCCACCAGGGATATCCCACCAGGTATAATTCCCAGCAGATATACCTTTTTTTAAATTTTAAATTTTAAAAAACGCGAGTTCCTAACAAGTATAAAACCCACCAGATATACACGTATTTATTCATTAAAATAAAGTGTGCCAGCAAGTATAGTTCCCAACAGGTATATATCCCAGTAGGTATAAGTCCCGCGAGGTATAAATTCTTTATAAAAAAACCAATTGCTTGATAAAGTTTTTACTACATGTTGTGTTTGAAAGACAGTAACAAACACCGAAATAAGTACAATTAAAAGAAACCATTAAAATGTAAAAAGTAAACAAATGGTAAGATGTACATCAGTTAAAAATCTCAACAAAAGGTAAATAAATAGAACAGGTGCACTAGTCGAGACAAACGTTAAGCCAGGCCATCGCCGGCGGGCAGCCAACAGGCATCACATCTTAGCGTAACACTTACCTATCGCAGGCTTGAGTAAACACAGTAAGCAGCGGAGCAGACGACGCACTGACGAACCGCGCGCCGTTCAAAAAAATTTACAATAATTACCTATAAAATAGTTGTTTTCGGGTGGGATTTATACTTGTTGGGAAACCGTGAAAATTTAAAAATAAATTAAATAGTGTATATCTGCTGGGTTATACCTGGCGGGAATTATACCTCGTGGGATTAACCTGAGGGTTTATACCTGGTGGGACTGTATACCTGCTGGGGTAACCCCTGTGTTTCATATGAAAACGTTACTGTTGTGTCAATTTACAATATTTATCGTAATCTTACAAAATCACTGCAAAAGGTATCGTAATCCTGGAAAATAACTTCGTGAAGAGAGAAAATATTCCCAAACTGGCGGACTTACAGACATTATCACTTCGAAATGTATTGTTTAGTACGGCTTTACAAAATATTGCCCAAAAAAAACAACGAAAAAATTTTGGGGCAATTTTCTTTTGCGAAGTTCTTGTTTTTATATGAGAACATTTCGTAAACTTCTTGAACTGAAACATTTGTTGTTACGAAAAAAAAAATTTGAGAAGATTTTTTACAGCGCGCATGTTGAAGCTGAAAATCTTTACAATGAGCCAAAAACATTTCGAAAATTTACGACATATGTCATATATAAACGACATTTTTGTAAAATAACAAACAGTTCGTAAAGGGGGAAATTCAACAGGTATAAGGTCCCGTCAGGTATAATCCCATCAGGTATAATGTTCATTAGGTATAATTGGCAACACGCATAATTCTCAAGGTATAATAGATTTATTTTTTTTCATCAGGCATAATTTGCATGAAGTATAATTCCCATCAGGCATAAATTTTTTTTTAAATTTTTTTTATATTTTACATTAAATTCAGCTCTGAGGAGCGATATACTGTGGGCAAAGTGACACCGCCAGGTGGGTGCATTCAGAAAGCAAAGCAATAGTGGAACCTTGGCCAAGGAGGGAGACCCATTCCAGGGTTAGGAAGAAGAAAAAAAATCAGAACTGACACTTGTTGTTTTTTACTATGTAGGCAACTGTAAATCGCGACACTAACATAGAATCAACTGAGGTACAAGTATTGGTTTGAAGGCTTGCAGCTGCAAACAGTGTGCTCACCATGTTTCGGGAGAGGGCCGAAATGACCAACAGCTGCCAACCAGATGGTTTCTCAGGACGGACGGAAAATGTACTATCAATAAGGATCCATACTGGCAAAATTGTGTATTATGCCTGATGGGAATTATATTTGAGGGGAATTATATTTGATGACATTATGCCTGATGGGAATTATATGTGAAGAGAATAATATCTTATGCTACGCTTGTAGTTTTTGTATATTATCGTTTTTATCTGTTAAGAATTATACCTGAGGAGATTTCGTGTAAATCAACAATAATTATTTATGCGTTATATCTGATGAGAATTATGCATGATGAGATTATACCTGATGGGACCTTATACCTGATGAAGACTACTCTTCGTAAAAGAAAATTACCCCAAAAAAATTCGTTATTTTACGAGAAATTTTTTCAGTGTAGGCAGAGGCAGCATGTGTGGGAAAACCTTTTCGCTGTATTTCACACATGCAAGCGTGGGACAAACGTGGCTCACACTTGCAAGCGTAAGTCACACCACTGTAAAAAAATTGTTCGTAAATTTACAAACAATTTATGGGTAATTTCGTTGCACGAATTATTTGTAAATTTACAACGTTTTTATGTTTCTTAACGATTTATGAATTGTTCTTCACGCAGGAGTTTGTAAAATCTCAAACTTTTTACACGTTCTAAATTACGTGGACCCCTCTTGTTCTACCTTGTCAAGCTGATTAAATAGAGATAAACTTGTTTCAGCGTTTTTTTTTTTGTTTTATGATACATTTTGTAAAATGACGAAGGCATCACCCTATCTCGTAATTTTACAAGCGATTTGTGCAACGGAATTACCCAAGCATTTGTTGTAATTTTAGGAAACATTTCATATTTTTGTGACCTTGCTGTAGTATTATCGTCACGTTTAAGTTGTACTTCGTTCGTACCATTTCATAAGGCGGTGTTCACAAACAAGTTTCGTAAAATTAAGCAGATTTCTGTGATGAATAATTCATAAAACGGCCTCCACAAATAATTTTCATAAAACACAATTAAATTGCATAAAATAACAAAATGTTATTGTTACTTTACAAGGAATTTGTAACAATTTTTCGCAAATTCACAATAATTTTTTACAGTGACTGGTTCGCACTAAATTGTGTGGGACTGTCTCAAACTTGGATTTGCAGTGTAGTTTGCGGATAATTCTACAGCGGAACGAAAGTAAGTGTAGACCATACCTGCCACACAACTCGTGATATCGGTTGAAACCAACTGCGGTGCAGTGCCCTTTCTGCAGGTCGGAATTTTGTTAGTTTACACCTGGTTCCAAAGGCGGCTTTTGAGAGGTTGTTGCAAAACAGCACTTTTGACCGGGCTCTCATCCGAAACCAGGTGTAAAGTAATTGACATGCGACCTCTGAAAGAGCACTGTACCGCAGTTAATTTGAATCGATATCACGAGATGTGTGGCAGGTGTCGTCTAAACTTCCCTTCGCTGTGCTGTAGACTGTAGTATCTATACACTGCTAATCTAAATTTGATTCAGTCTCGCACTTCTTAGTGCGAACCAATGTGTCTCACGCTAGACCGTCCCTTATTTTTTCAAATTGAACCGAGACAAAAGTTCGTGGTGCCAAATTGTTCCATTTGGTGAGAAAACACCTCTGCCAAAGTTTGGTGGTGCTACGATATCGCATGGCCGAGCCTGAGGGGCCTAAGTGCAAATTTTAAAAATCGGCCGATTCCGGAATTTGAAAGTTGTCTTCCAAGTAAAGACGTCATTTTGATGCCCTTAGGGCGAAAATTTCAAGCGTTTTGCCGTATCTTGAAACCCTTATGGCCGAAACGGCGCTCTGAACGCGCTCCGCTACCGCGCGGATCGCCGATCTGGACCCAACTACGACGCTTTTGGGCTGAACCGAGCCGCCCCGGAGGGCAGTGGATCGCTGCGTCGCTGTCAGCACCTTCCCTAAACATGTATCTGAACTATCTCTGAAAATTCCAATGTGGTTAGTGGGATTACTCAATAGGAAAATGCTGAAATATGCCCTCAAAGTGTCAAATTTAGCCATTTTAGCATTTTTCGCGTGTTTTGGTGTAAAATTTGGTCTTTACCACATCTGTATTGAAATCTAACCTACCAATTACTATGCAATTAGTCAAACACATGTTTTGAGAAGGTGCTGACAGCGACGCAGCGATCCACTGCCCTCCGGGGCGGCTCGGTGCAGCCCAAAAGCGTCGTAGTTGGGTCCAGATCGGCGATCCGCGCGGTGGCGGAGCGCGTTCAGAGCGCCGTTCCGGCCATAACGGTTCAAGCTACGGCAAAACGCTTGAAATTTTGCCCTGCGGGCATCAAAATGACGTATTTACTTGGAAGACAACTTTCAAATTCCGAAATCAGCTGATTTTTGAAATTTGCACTTAGGCCCCTCAGGCTCGGCCATGCGATATCGTAGCGCCACCAAACTTTGGCAGAGGTGTTTTCTCACCAAATGGAACAATTTGGCACCACGAACTTTTGTCTCGGTTCAATTTGAAAAAATAAGGGACGGTCTAGTCTCACGCTCACAGGTGTAAGCCATGTAGGTCCTAGCCTGGGTCCTGTGGCATTGAATCACACAGGATACCATAGGTCCAAATTGGGGCTTTTCGATGTAGTTATCGCTGTTACCTTTTTCTGAAACTGCCTCCCCTTTTTTGCAGGACTACACACTGGAAGCCTACGTTAGGAGACCTGGAATGGATTTCACGCTGAACACCACGATAAGGGTGCCCTTTGGCAGTATACCTTTCGCGACTCAACTGACGTGTCCTGCCGGCATTGACGTGCGCATTATCATGGCGAATAGCGGTTGCCACTATGGTCCTTGCGATTTGCGAATAAGAGCAAATTTCTTGTCAGGTTGGCTCAATTTCAGATGAAAACCTCGACGCGTCCTAATAGAATAATCCTGACTGCCGGAGCTGATCCAAGAGAATCCTAGTCAGTGCAGTCAACTATCCTAACTGCAGAGGTACCTACCCAAAAGTGTTCATGAAGTATCTTCACTGCAAATCACAGAATCTCGATATATCTGAATTACAATGCCCACGTATTAATACAAGGATGAAAATTCGTAACAAGCCCTTCGGCGAGTAATTTTATGAAGTATGTTGGCGTCACGGACTTTGAGAAAACACCGCTTTTCACGTGATGTGCAGTTAGGATAGTTCTGGATTGACACGAAAAGTTAGAATTGTCTTGGATCTGCTCTGACAGAGAGGATTGTCTTGGATCTACCCTGGCAGTTAGGATTATTCAATAAGGACGCGTCGAACTGTGTGTGTGTGGGTGTCTGTTTTTGTAGGTTAACGTCGAGGGGTACCTCACTTTGTCTAGTCAGTGTACACCCCTGACTCCAGTCACTGCCTTGTTTCAGTCTAGTCACTGAAAAAGTCGGCAAAACCACGTAAATTTGTCCCAATTTTAGTATTTTTGCAACGCATTTCGTGATATTTTCAGTCTAGTCAAAGTGGAAATTGAGTATAGTCACCAGTCAGTGTACACCTGTTTTCGAAGTGAGGTACCCCTCGGTTAACGTGCACAGCTATGTGTGCCACTCTGCAAACGCATGGCACACAGTTAAAAATGAATGCCAATATGCACCCTGTTCCCAAGTGCGTTCCTGGGCACACTGTTAGAAACAGTGTGCCTGTTTAGAACAGTGTGCGTAAAGGCATACACTTTAAAGAGTGTGCCGTGTTTGCAGAGCAGGAAACTTTGGGATCATTTCCCGGTAAAAACGCGTCATTCGACAGAATATTACAGTTTACTGTCCCTGTCTTTTTTTAATAGATGCCTCAAGAATAGGAATTTTTAGAGCGAATGTTAGAAGACAGTCATAAAAAAGGAGCGTTTTGTGATTCTCTTCCTTCTTTTTCTTTTCAGAAAGAGTTCCCACCCAATGGAATTCAAAACATGTACCTTCAAGTACAGATGCTCCAGGTAACAGCGCTTAAAAAGAATCTAGAGGAGTGATTCCTTGTCTTCATTAGTACAACCTATCTACTTAGTACACACGTCCAATTGCATGCTTGCAATTATACACTTACAAACGCATGCTGGGCGCCGTATAGCTCCATGCTAAGCTTACTCTGAAAACTCTATACAGTGTGCTCAGTACACTCTGTTCAGCGTGTACTCACAAGCACACTCCTACGAGAGTGTGCTAGCTGAGTACACTCTAACGAAAGTGAGAGTGTGCTTAGCTGAGTACACTGCAACGAGAGTGTGCTAGCGGAGTACACTGCAGCCAGAGTGTGCTTAGGTCGGTACAAGATATGCAGCTGAGTACACGTTCGTGGGAGTGTACTCGTGAGTACACGCTGAAGAGAGTGTACTTATGAGTACACGCTAAATATAGTGTACTCTTGAGTACACACTAAAGAGAATGTACTGAGTACACTGTTGAGTTTGCAGAGTAGGCATTTGTTAGCGTGTGTACTTGCCAAGCATGCATTTGTAAGTGCGTACAGTCTTCATCGGCAAAGAGTCGACCGGCAAAGAGTCGACTTCATGTGACGGTCCCCGCTTACGCGGCGGGGGCGAGCTCGAGCCACAATGGTTTTATGGCCCTCCCGAGCTCGGAGCACTACCGGAGCTTTTGTCTACCACCATGTGCTGTTTGGTTTTCGTGTCGGCAAAGAGTCGAAATCCGGTCCCGACCCGTCGACTCTTTGCCGATGAAGACTGTACTTTGCAGACAGTCGGGTTTGTAGTGTGCAAAACGCAGGATTTTCTCAGGATTTTTAAAAATGTTGTTGAATGTTTTCTTCTTGGTATTAAAATATATTTAATTATTGGGAAATATTAAGAAAGCCCCTTTCGAGCGGTGCATTTTTTCGGCATGTTCGAACTTTCGATCGGCGTAACTTTTATCCGATGCTACGTCCCAAATTATGAATATTGGATACTCCAGCCGGCAATATGGGCCCATCGGAAAAGATTGCGCAAGGGGCTTTAAGTGGGCCTTCCTCACATTGAAAATTTTGGTTGTCGCTTGAAGACAATTTCAAAGGCTTATTCTCCATACAAGGACTTAATCAAATATTGGATTACGTAGTTGTCACACCCATGGAAGGAGCTTTCATGAAAATGTCATCACTTCGAGCTGACCTTGTCGTCACTTGCGAGTGATAGAAATGTTATCAACAATTTTGTCATAAAGTGACAACAAATTTTTAAAATGCTAGCGTCTAGATTCATAGTCACAATATCGATATGTGAACTTAACTTTATTGTAATGTAATGGTTCTGGCGTCCTTGGAAAAAAAACTCGTTCCTTTCGCCGGATCTCATTCCTCTAGGTGATAAAAAGGGGAAACGTGACTTAGAATAGTGTTTGAAGCTGAGTTGGTGATAGACCCTTTCGCTCGTCGTCGAAACGGTTCCTGGTTTTCCCAGGAAGCCTCTGGCAAAGACATAAGCAATTTCCAGGGAGTTCTTGGGAAAGCCCAGGAACTGTTCGTCTTTACCGTGCACTCGGTGACGAGCGAACACTAAGAATGAAAGCGTCATGGTCATGACTAAAATTTTGGGCGAGGAATTCTTCATTACCCAAATTTGGGCGAGGAAGGTTTCCTCGCCCAAATTTGGGTCATATATACGGAGCCGTATAGGAAGCTGATACACCCCTCCTCACCCAATTTTGGGCGAGGAAGCCTTCCTCGCCCCAATTCCTCGCCCAAATTTGGGTGATAAAGTATACCTCGCCCAAAATTGGGTATTGATCATGACTTTTTCATTCTCAGTGAAATCGCACACTCAACATCTTATGATCGTTTTTATACATATTACGATGGTTTTTCATCGTAAGGTACGCATAAATTTGCACATACGTAATATGCTCAATTTTTCATCGTATTACGCATGAATTTCATCGTATTACGCATGTATATTATCGTATTACGCATGAATTTCATCGTATTACGCATGAATTTTATTTAAGTACATATGTTCTCATTTCAACGTATGTTACGATGGCGCTTTCATCGTAAGAATCTGAGGTTGCGTCTATTCACGCCGAGTTTTCTTCGTTATCTTCTTTGGAGGGTTCTCATGCTTCGTTTCCTCTTCTCAACACTAGATGCTGCTACTGAAATCTGCAATAATGGTGGTTTTCGTGAAAATAGTGCAACGGGATCGTGCGCATGTCCGCCAGGATTCGGAGGTCCAACGTGTGAGGATGGTATGTTAGCTCACGAGGGGAAGAAACGATTTCTGCGAGATAGAAACGTCTCAAAATTTGTTGTCAGCGGGATCGGCCTTCAGATAGTAGGAAAACGCGAAATCTTATCGCAAAGTCTTTTGAGCGTTAGCAGTTTTAATCTACACCAATCGCGATTATTTTATTCACCGGCCGATTACGATCACAACCAATAATCGCCCAGGCCTACTTTAAGATGCGACGCGTCTCTCCGTCGTCTACAGACATGTTTCGTAGGCTGGTTGCCTCCCTTGCGGTCCCTTTAGAGATAAATTTGTGCTGTTT